GGGCCCCGGCGAAGTCGATCAGCCTCAGTCCGTTATCGGACGTTTCGTCGTGGAGGCTGAATTTTCCGACAGTGGCGCCAAAGATCCCTTCCTTGCCCACCTTGGCATTAAAATCGCCAAGCACGATTTTGACATCGTGTCGGGGGCAGCGCTCATATGTACGTTCCAAGCGCTCATAGAAGAGATCCTTGGACGCCTCATCCTTCTCTTCCGTCGGGGCATGGGCGCAGATGAGCGAGATGTTGAAGAATCTAGCTTTGATGCGGATTGTGGCTAGACGTTCGTCCACCGGGGTGAACGCCAGTACTCGGCGACGGAGTCTCTCTCCTACCACGAATCCAACACCGAATTTGCGCTCCTTTACTTTACCTTGCCCCGTCCATCGCATTTCTTGGACGGCGGTGATGTCAGCCTTTGTCTTCCCGAGGACATCAACCAGCCGGGCAGAGGCACCTTCCCCATTAAGGGTCCGGATATTCCAGGTGCATACCCTTAAATCATAGTCCTTTATACGTTTGCCGTGGTCGTCATCAAAAAAAGGGGGTCTCATCCGAGGCTGTTTGCTTCTTTTCATCGGGCGGGGTTTTAACGTGGCGGGACCCAAACCCAGCGCACGCGAAGTTTTACGCCTGGCTTATACGAGTCGTCTCTGAGATATTGCCTACTCAGATAACCTTAAAATCCAAAACATTATCTGTGTACAAAATTTCATCAAAACCGTTAGAGCCGTTTCCGAGAACCCTATGCATATATATACATATATATATACAAGAATTGCTCGTTTAATGTAATAATATATGGCAAACAAAATGAAAAATTAAAGCCAATATTTTTGCCTGTGGTCATGGGAGTATTTGTGTAACAAAACTGGTCAAATGTCATATTTATCAACTTTGATAAACATGTCTTAAAACATATTTAGGTGGTTCACAAGGTGTCGTAAGTATCGTATTGTTGTATGTCGAAAAGTACATACAACAAGTACATACAAGTACAAACAACAATACGACAGTATACAACACCTTTTGAACTCCCTAATTATTTCTTAAGCTATATAACCGAGCTCTCAATGGCCCGTCATACAAGTTCCAACTTCTACTTGACCTTTGACGTCCGCCAAAGAGAACAGAGTGTTTTGAAGTGAAACTTCTTTAGCGGCGGTTGGTTGGTTGGGAGTAAATTGTCAAATTCAAAGGAAATTGCACACGGAAATGGTGCAACGGAAATTATGTAATGGAAATGGTGCAATGAAAATGGTGCAACGGAAATGCTGCAACGGATATGGTTGGGGCTGAAACAAGTGGTATTAATTTAACAAAAATTTTCTAATAAAAGGTTAAAGAATAACACTTAGAAAAATACCAATACAAGAATGAAAGCAAAGGCGAGTACGTACATAGATAAAGAAAAGGATAAAGGCAAAGGCAAAAATAAAACCAAAAACAAAAATGCGTAGAGATAAGGGCAAAGATGAAGACCAAGGTTAATTTAAACACTTAACTTATATATATTAGGGCAAAGTGAAGGGGAATATGTAGATGAAATTATAAGCATAAAAGTAAAGACAAAGTAGGAGGATGAAGATACCGATA